TGTGTTCACTTTAGAAACTGTTATTAATAAAATACGTTATGTATATTATGTATTATACTATTACATGAGATAAATATGTTGTAATTAGTGTAATTAATAAATATATGGGTCTAATTAATAAATCTATTTTAATTTTATCAGCTTTTTTATTGAATAATCTTTAATATACAAGTAATTTATTGAAGAATTAAGCAAAAATTTTCACTACAAGTTGAATTTAAAACTTATACATAAAGAAACGCAATTACAGCAATAAATCTCTATTATTTTATAGTACTATTGAAATCAAACGTTTCAAGGCCGTGTTACGTAGAATAACAGAAAACAAAACTGCCATATATAGTTGATACCGCGCTAAAAATTGGAATTCTGAAAAAGATCTTTCGCGGCTTATGCTCTCCTAATACAAATTTTCAGATTTAACAAAATTTTCAGTTTTGCGTCATATACGACGGCTGGTCAAAAAGTTATGGAAAAATGAAATTTCAAAAAACTTGAATTTTCCATTACTTTTCGACTAACCTTCGTATTTGGCTCAAAACTGAAAATTTTCATAAATTTCAACATTTGTATTAGGAGAGCATAAGTTGCATCGGGTCTTTTTCAAAAAACAACTTGAATTTTCCATTACTTTTCGACTAACCCTCGTATTTGGCTCAAAACTGAAAATTTTCATAAATTTCAACATTTGTATTAGGAGAGCATAACTTGCATCGGGTCTTTTTCCAAGTTCAGAAATTAAGCGCGGGATTAACTACAGCTTTCTTTCAAATTGTTCAGCTTTTTTTCAAATTGTTCAGCTCCTGAACACACGATGGCCCTGGTTATTTTCAAAACTTGACACAATTACCTTTCTTTTTATAGTATTTGTGCTATTTTATTCTTTACTGTTGTTTAAGGCTGAGAATTAAAAACGCATACTTTACTTATTTATTTATTTAAATACCAAAGAATGATAATACAATGAAAATACATTTATTATTTAGAAATACAATTTACATTTATTATAACAAAGTACAAATTTATTTCAAATAACAATACATTAATATAAACAAAATGTCTAAGATATAATACATTCTAACGACTTATAAAAGTTAAAAATAAAATACCTGTAAGAGAGACAAGAAAATCAATAAAATTTCAAAGAAAATACATTTATTATACATAAACTGTCATACCATTATTATTTCAATGCAAGATTAGGGAGAAAAAAGCCTCCCTAACCTTCTGTGGCCTCCGCATCTCCCCTTATAGCCACCCTATCCACCCAAACGAACATTAATTTTGAAAGCGTAAACAAATAATTAATTTAATTTAACAATTATACCAAAAAATCAATTTAGAAACATTTTAAATATCAACCTAAGTTATGATTATAAAGATATAACAGTTTATGCAGTAAAAAACAAAATACCTGTAAGAGAAAGACAAGAAAACACATGAAATTTCAAAGAAAATACAATAAAAAGCAAACAATACGATGTCTTCAGTCTTCTTCGGTTACCTGAAAGCGAATAGTGCAATTACAAGGACTAACGACAAATACTAATAGCTTTGGTAGAGAAGATCGGACAGATTTCGCCAAGGCAAGCTGGGCAGTCGCCTATTGCTCCTATTCCAGATAACCCACTGTACCCTGTCTGAAAGGAAGTAACGCTAGAGTAGACTCGCGAAAAGTGTATAAGACACTTTTAAGATCAACTAAATAGCTAAGCCCAAGGGAAGTCGTTCGGGGAGGCCCTCCCTAATTCCACAAGGGTGAGAAGAAACACACACGATAACGAAACGTTGAATCATGTAGAACTCGTAGGGTAAATGCAAAGCAATTTATAGTAAGAATATGCAGTAAGCTAAGCGAAGAGGTAAGCAAGGTTAGACTATACTACAACTACTAAACGTGTTATTTCTACTACTACACTACTACTACATACAAAAAAAAAATAAAAACATCTAAATTCAACAATTACTTCAAATAAAATGAACAAAGATAAGCATGCAAAATAAAAAATTAATTTGAATAAAATGAACTTAATGAATTCTATTAGATAAAGCATGCAAGATAAAAGAAGTATTTCAACTATGGGGTCATCTTTGGCTTCTCCAACGTTGATCTGAAACAGATACGGTGGTAATAGATTAATAATGAGCAATTAAAATTAACTGTATCAAGTTTCTCACCTTAATTAACTGCAGACTGAAACTGTTTGCAGGTGTGAAGAGCAAACTAATCCAGGAAAAACACCATAGCAGAAATCTTGTTGTGCCATTTGAAATCAAATAGATCCTTAGTTGCTCCCACTAATCGGTCGAAAATCAACTGCATGGTGTTGCAAAGTGAAGATAAAAATATCAAATCAGGAACAAAGTCCTGAAAAGACCACACCCATGTAGACGGTTGTTCGAGTACCGCCAAACTGAACTCATTTGTTGGACAATCTGCAGAAAGGGCAAAAAAATTATTAATTACACTATTAATTAAGAAAGGAACTAAAAATAAACAACAAAAAGCAAGTAAAATAGCTGAATTATAATAAAATGGCGACAATTGTCATTTCACACCATGATCATAGACCCTGCATGACATAAATAAAGACAAACAATCATAGATGCACGGTGTCAATTTATGATGTGCACAATAGATATTTAAAAAAATGAAATACCGTAGATACACGTTAAGATTAACTGAAACTGTGAACAATAGATAATTGGTAAGACAGATAACCCATAAAATCAATATTGAGCAACTAACATAAATGGCATGCATTCTCACCTTAATTATCTGCAGAAAGTAGCTTTCTAAGGTCCACACGTAGAATGAACAAGCCAAATTCAGGAGGAATACCACTGCAGACAAGTTGTTGTTTTAGTCGTTTCCAAAGTAATTTTCAAATGTCTCCCCATCTCAGGTGCAAAATTATGTTGCAAGGGTAAGACGTCAAAATCATCGACTCTTTCAGTACCATCAGAATTAGCTGTAATTTCTCTTCACTTGGACAATCTATAGAAACGGGCAAGGAGACGTGGTTAATTACAACTTTTAAAGCGAGAAAATCAGTAATATTATAATGTGGCGATGTGGCATTAAAGTTAACAGCTAACTTTCGCACTGATGGAAAGGCCAGTTCCACATTTTGCTTCTGCCATTTCTAAAACGTTATTTAAAAGTTGTCTGATGAAAGTAAGTTACAAATACCTAAGAAATTGAAGTTTCTGGGATCTGAATTAATATTTTAAATTGATATAGTTTACTTACCAGTCCATTCGTCATAAATCTTTCCCTTAGCAATGGTACCCTGTGCTCTCCCTGTAGAAAAAAGGCACTTTTGTGCTTCTTTTTAGGACATCTACTTTCTGGATAGAACACTGACACAACCAATGTTCTGTAAATTAATCCCATCCTGAGTTTTTTTAATGTTAATACGAAAGGGTATAAATTCACCAATTATGGCATGTATGCTCACCGTAATAGAAGATCCTCCAAAATGAAACGAACACCATTTTTTTGTTGTTTGCCACTTGCTTTTTCAGTTGCATCAAAATGAACACTCTTCCATTCTTATTTATCATCAATCTGTAAATATAGAAAAGAAAAACGAATGAACTAAATTATTAAACAATTAAAACATGAAATACAATGAAAATACGCACCGAAAAGCAAATGAAATTGCAAAATTTTAAAAATGGCGACATAGCGTCGTTTTTAATACAAGATGGTAAGATGGGCAAGATTGGACAAGATCGTGAAACACAGGAAGGTCTATAAAATTCATAGATTCATAAGTACTTGTCAATTTATGCTGCGGACATATAGATAAGTGTGAAGGAAAAACCTATAAAGTATAGACGAAAAAGCAAATCACCAAGTCAACATTAGTTATTTTACGTCTGTTCTTACTATAAATATTCTTCCTCACTTCTCTNTATTCTTAATATATAAATTCTTCCACACTTCCCTAGAATCTTTAATCGATGTTCTCTTTATGGCATTTTAAATAAACTGAAATTTTGTGATACATACAATTTTAACAAAATAGCACATAATTCGACACATTACCTAATCTAACCACTCGTCTGAAATTAGCTACCTACCAACATCCTAACAATTCAATTTGCCATACCAACTTAAATAAAATCAGTAATTGTTTGCAAAATTGTACATAACCTAAATTTGTATTCAATTTACTGATTTCTACATAATACAATTATTTGCTGATGTAAAAGGTATTGTATTAATATTTACGTGTAACTGATTGATTACAATTTTTAGTACTATGTCCTGTGACAATGTTTTATCAGTTGATAATGACGAATACGATAGAAATACCTCATTAGCTAATCAAGTACAAGTTTCAAACACCTACAAACAGCTTAATATTAAAAGGACGGTTGATGTAAGAAAATCTACGGGATCATTTATATTTCATAATGGAGTCATAAGTTCTAGAATTCGTTTTGTTAATGATTACCATGAAGAATATATAAGTGTGGCTACTTCCGAACGACTGAAGAGCATTTGTAAGAGCACTGACACACTAGTAACAGGAATTTCTAGTAACTTTTTACTCAATAGAAATATAAAGAATAAAAAGAAAAGTTTTGGTAAAATAAAAACTAAAAACATGCCCATGAAGGCAAACAAAAATTACTTTGAAACTACAAAAATTGAACAAAGACTTACTACAAACCAATTACCAAAAGGACAGGATTCTGTTAATGTTTTAGATGATACAGATTCTGTTATTTGTTTGGGTATATTGGATGTTGCATCTTCAAAAATTTCAACAAATAAAACTTCAGAAAAATATGATCAAAATTCTTCATTAGTTTTGAGTAATAGTAACAATCTTAATGAAAATGATGTAATAATTGTACAACAGTATTGCAACCTGTGTGGGGAAGATTTGAATATGGAATATAATCAAATAAGTGATAAACACAGATGTCCTGATTCTGCTAGAAACTGCCAAAAAAGAACTAAATTAACAAAAAGTATTTGTTCAATAGAAACCAAAAAGACAAGTAAAATACGTAACAGTGGACAAGATAACACCACAACTACAACTACTTCTGGACTTTCTTCAATCACTTCCTTACCTTTAAATATAGAAAGTTGTAACAAGAATAATGAGAACCCAGTTGTAATACAAGATACTACTTGCAATACAAGTACTAACAGCCTTTTCTTTAATGATAATAATATTATTAATGCATTAAAGAGAAAAGTTTCGGAGTTTTTGGATAAAAAATATACACAAACAGGTGATGCTACTTCGACAAGTTATGGTAACAATAATAAATGTTTGTGCCAAAATTTTGTAAATTTGAATTTAAAGAAAACTAACGATGTGGAAAGTAGACATAAACTAAGGGTGAATAGTGAATCCACAGAGGTGGTTGATGATAAATTTGAACAAGGCTGTATAGATAATGCAAGGGATAACTACATTTTTGGCTACAATTATTATGGTTCAAAAGTGCGTAAGAAAAGTGGTTTGAGATTAATAGTTATCGATGGGAGCAATGTTGCTTTAGGGTAGGTAGGCGAAGAATGTAGTAAAAACATTTATTTTCTTAGTGCATTATAAGAGTTTTAATTAATAAACACAGCGTTAGTGAACTGTGCTTCTAGATAAATAGATATTTAAGTTTAATATTATTGAGATAAAAAGCTAATTATAAAAAAATACTGTTTTGGTACAAAATTTTAATATCTGTGTAAGTTTTAGTAGTAGTAAATTGTGTAAAAAAAAACACCCATAGCTGTGGGGGCAGATTACCCATATTTACCCGTCTATGATCTTATTTCAAATATTTTTAACTAATTGGTTTAATTTAATTTATTCATAGGCATTCAAAAGGAAAATTCTTTTCTTCAGAGGGTCTAAAAATATGCATAGAATACTTTTACCAAAGAGGGCATGAAGTGAAAGCATTTGTGCCTCAATTTCGCTTGAAAAATGGACAAACTTCAAACAAGCAATTATTACAATGGCTGTATAATCGTGGATGGGTAATATTCACACCGTCCAGAGAAGTAAATGGGCGAATGATAGTGCCTTATGATGACCGGTATGAAGATGAATAACATTGTCATTAAATAAGAACGTTGAAGTTCTTGATCAGAAATTTGTCGAAACTGATACCAGATATGGATTGCGATTTCGGTCTCATTGATCTTATCAGCGCGCTTAATTGATTAATTTTTAAAATCTATAGATGCTGTTGCCATATTGACGAATTACCCCTAATTGCTTTAACGATAATGATAAAAACTTGTGTAGATATGTGGAAGTTTCAATAGTAGTAACTTGTAACATGCAAAAAAATATGAGACCTATAGTTTCAGAGTCAAATCACCCATATTTACTCAGCTACAATCATTCCACTTTAATATGAATATTTTAAATGTTTTGAAAATTAAATTAATTTAATTGGTATCTCGCTATCTATCTATATTTTTCAATTTTCAGTTTCATAGTACAGTGCGCAGCTTTACATGATGCTGTTATAGTTTCAAACGATTGTTATCGTGACTTAATGAAAGAAAATCCACAATGGAAAAAAACGATTGAAAATAATCTTTTGATGGTTACATGGGTTGATGACGTAATTTATTTTCCGACCGATCCGCTTGGCAAACGGGGACCTAGATTAGAAAGTTTCTTGCGTTATTCGTAATTTAAACATAAACACCTACCTTATTACATTATATTATACTATTTACATACATAAAATGACAAAGAACTTGTGATTTCGTTTTTGGATTTCTATACTTGCTTTAAAAATAAATTTATATTTTTATTCAGTAGTTATTTATATAGTTATATTTTTTTTTTTACGTTAATTTTACCGTTTTTAGTAACTTGCAAGTACAATTTTTCTAAATATAACACACATAAATTTTACATTTCTTCCGCAGTCCAAAAAACCCAACCCAAGTCAAATAATAAAATTCGGGTATTAATTAATAAAAAGAATTTGGAAGCAATACAATAGATGGTAAAAATCTACATATAAATATGACTGATTAAAATCAAATACATATACATATTTCATTATTCACTTTTGTAAAAAATATAAGGGATGTTCTAGAAATTTTTACGTTCATACATTAGGACATCACTACTGCAGAAAATTTTGTTACTTAATAAATACTATGCTGAATAAAAAAGAAACATTTGGTTTACATATCCTACTAATTTGGAGGCTACCTAACTTCATTTNNATCGTACTCCAACATATGTTTCAGCTGTAATGCCACTATCAAAGAGTTAATATTCCAAACTAACAGAAAATATGCTAAGTCTAGTTTAAACTTGTTACTTTTTTTACTTCTTTTATAAACGAGTAAAACCCCGAAGTCCATTTGCTTAGTCCATAGAATTATATTGCTATTGTTAGCTCTTGTTACTTCCAAAATTTCAAGCAAGTTTAATCTCCTACATTTATTTTGAATATGAAATACTGTGAAGTTGTTTATATCTAAAGGGTAGAAGGTTAAACTTACTCGAAATGTTGGAAATAACAGAGCCATCAACATGTGAAAGACTGACAACTATTTTGGAAACAATTAATTTTTAAAATTGCTAAAATGATTATGAATTATAAGATGGAAGTGAAGTTTTAAAATTTCTCATAACAAGTATCCAGTGTAATTACTCTTTGAATGGGAGTTATAACTACGGTGACGATAATTTTTGAACAAAAAAAGCAGCTACACTCAGTTTTTAAGGAAAATAATAATTGATATATTTTTTGTCCATATTTAATTTTTAATCAAACAAAATACTCAAAGTTGTATTTTTAGAGAAGTACAAATGGTAACTTTAGTTATAACATAACCCACGCAGGACCCTTCTATGCATATGATTTTTACTTTCCTTTTGCGATTTAATTAAATTGTCTTCACTTAGGGCTCGATCTATTTCTTTTTAACTAATCGTAAGAAATGTAATATTTAAGGATACCTCTTAGCGGTATCAATTTTTTAAGTATATAAGGATCTATTCATATTTAAACTTCTTACCGATAATATTGCTCTGCTGTTACTTAAATTCTTGTGGTGAAATATTTTAAATTATTCTTATTAAAAACATTATTAATCACACACCACACACTCAAATATTCGCTTCCTAAGACTCGTTTTCGCTTGTCACTGCCTGCCCAGTCGTACGTATTTATTGGTTATGTTCATAGATCTTCTCATGATCTTCTTGTTATGCATAGATTAGAGATACATATACGACAGTATCATAGATTAGAGATATATATATACCATAGTAATGATTACAAATAATACTAAATTTTAATGGCATTACTATGATCATATTATCTATGATTCACGATTGGCGCACGTGTATTAGTAATATTAATGAAAAGTATTCGTCTATGTATTATATGCAATTTTTACTGATAAATAATATTAAAGATTAATTCCGCTTACCACATTAGATTATTCTCCAAGCACAAATTAATTAAATTATCACATCGTCAGTAGTTTTTCACAGTTAAATACCTGCACCTAAAACAATTTTCTTTTTTTAACAGGACTGATAAACGCACAATTATGATACTCCCATATTTAGAACCCGCAAACGACACATAATTTATTGGTGAAGATGTAAATCCAGGATTATTTATATCGGGTGCTAAATTCATACAACTATTCTCACATCCTACTTCATGCTCATGTCCTTCATGTCTATTTGTTTGTGGCTGTCTATGTCTATGGCTTATGTTATGTTCGGTCTTCTAATTCATAGGTACGTTTTGTGTATCTATTATCTATGGTCCTAATCCTAACCTATAATTTTTGGTTACCAATTTTTTTTGCTAATCATACGCACTTCTCATCGTAGAATAATTTTATTCTATCGCGTAAAATCGAGTTTTTTGTATACTATAAAAATGAGTGTATTTGTCTGTGTGGAGGTAACCTTGAGTTCGAAGATAGGAATGATAATTGAATACAATGTTCTATACAATACTGCAATAATTTTCACAAACTATCCACATATTTAACAAAGAGAATAATACAAATTCTACGTTAAATTATATGGTTACGGGATGATTTCAAATAATTAAATACAAATAAAATTTGTGTAAGTAAAAATTCTCTATTTTGAATTTCTACTATTGTTCTTACAGAATATACTTTCAGAAGCTTTATTGTTTTATAGGATACTATTATATTATTGATCCACTTTTTAATTCATTTTCCTGTTCCCGTAAACGACTTTTTTATTAAACATCAGTTTGGAAACAATGGTAAGCATCTGAGTACCATTTTTATTATGAACTACAGTTTTTGTTACTCTTATCTCATTGTTACTTTTTGATAAAAATTTATTAATCAGTTCTTATCCCTGCTTTATTTTTGTGCTTTTTATACGTTTTTATTTTTCATCAAAATTACTGTAATTACGAACTAAATATATTAATATTTAATTTCAAGGAATGAAAGGACAGTATTGTTTTAAGTTTTGGAAGTTTTTGTAAAGCAGTATCAAAATGGCCATAGAAGTGGCATCGGTGTTGCTGTTTTTTGCTGTTAGCTTTACAGGTAAATTACCAGTGTTTCAGCTTCTATTAGTTGTTACTGTTCCAATTCCCTACCTTTTATGCCTATTAACTTTGTAGCACCTATTACTACAAATTTTTTATTGGATAGAACATGTGTTGTGATGTTAGGTCATAATAAATCTGATTGTGCTTTATTGGGGACTGACAATGCTAGTTCTGCTACACAAGAACTAGAAAAACAGGTTCAACCATATGCAAATGATATAAGCATGGTACAGTCATTTGTGTTATCAATTGCAACAATTGTGTCCTGCTTTTTTATCGGTTCATGGATTGATAAAAATGGCAGAAAACCAGCCCTTCTTATGGGTATTTTAGGTCAGTGAAAATATTATTTTTCAAATAAACATAATGAATGTATTATTACTTAGGTTTTACTTTCTATATGTTGATAATCCTTATAATCTATTTAATTCCAAATGCAACACCATGGTGGTTAATTGTTGGCATATTACCAGTGATTTTAACAGGTGGTTTTCCCACTTTTATGACTGTGATGTTATGTTATGTAAGTGATGTGTCTTCCGAAAGTCAAAGAGGACTCAGGTAACTTATTTTATCATTTTTGGTACAAAAAGTAATAGCCCTATTAAAAAATACAAAATAACATTTCAGAATGGGCATTTTTGAGAGTTCTATGGCTATAGGAGGTTTGATAGGCACATTATGTAGCTCATATGCCTTTAACGCAGGTGGATATATAACAATGTACAGTATATCAGTGGTGTGTTGTTTTCTTGCATTTTTATATGCACTACTGTTTGTTCCTGAATTAGTTCAACAAGAGCAAAGTGAAATAGAAAGGGTAAATGTGCCTTTCAATTTCCTATGAAGTTTTTTAAATAAATTGTAATATTTTAGAATAAATCTGTCTTCAACATTGCTATGATGAAGAGTACATTTCAGACATACTTTAAACAAAGAGAAAGCAAAGGTCGAATAATTTTAATCCTTTTAACAATTATGTTAGTTGTGTGCTATTTACAATTTACATGTGCTGATTCTTTTACTTTCTTGTACGTAAGAGAAAATTTTAACTGGTCGCTAAAAACATACACTTATTATTCGTGCTTTAAAACGGTCATGTCCATACTGGGTAGCACCTTTGGAATTTATGTTTTTCAGAAAATCTGTAAAGCTTCCGAAACAACAATAATTTTGTTTGGCTTTATTGGAATTATTGTTTCTCTTTTAATGATCGGTTTTGCTCAAAAAAGCTGGCTGTTGTATCTAGGTTTGTATCTGTTATATATATTTTGAAAGAGTAAAAACACTAAAGGGAATTTGTTACCAAATTCTCTGACAAATTATAGCGTATTCAAAAATTATAAAAAAATGAATTTTTTAACAAGGACCAAAAGTTTCTTTTTAATATCTGTAGAAAATATTCTTCATTTGCAGATAGAAGGTTCGTACTTAAACCGACGACCTTAAATACAGTTAAATGTTCATTAATCTTATTAAAAACAAAATTAATTTTATTCGTAAACTATGCAAGGCAATTGATATATTGATTCATATGCAATTGCAGGGGGATCTTTGAATTTTTTTGGTGCATCGATAAGTCCGCTGACTAGATCAATGATATCAAAAATAGTCGATGAAAGGGATGAAGGAAAAGTATTCTCGGTTATTTCGATTATGGAAACCCTAACAGCCATGATTGGAAATCCCTTTTACACCTTCATTTATAATTCTACTTTGAATTCATTTCCTAGTCTAATTTATATTGTCTCGGCTGGATTTTTAACAATAGGAATGGTTTGTGTAATGTAAGTTTTTCGTATATTTAATTCTTTCTTTAAGAAACCAATTGAATTTTTAAATAAATATTCAATATATTTTCTATTTTTAGAACCATCATCATAATTAAGCGATGTAATAATCAAGTGAGATACAATGAATTAAATGAGTAAAAAATACATATCAAATCCAAACGTAACAGTAAAGCTTTAAGTTTAAAAATAAATGGTCAAGCATAATAAATATACCTATTTATCATATTAAAAGTCCAAATTTTTTTTTTATTTAATTTGCACATTTTCAAATACAATAATAAATTATCTGTGATAATATTGTGCAGTGTGATTATTCAATTTTAATTAAAAGTTTAATAATTAATGAAGTCCGGTTTGGTACTTATGCAAACAGCTTTAATTTTATTATTTGAAAAATATCAAGTGTGATTATACGTATATATATATCATTACTAATTTAATAAAAACTATGCAACAACCTTTCACTTGTGTTATTTATTGTTTCCTGCGGATTATTTTCCAAGCAAAGCACATAAAAAAATAGCATGCATGCAATATTCTTTTTAGACGCTACTGATGAAATGAAAACAAAATCAAACTGTTAACTTATACGTGGTATACCCACTTTTGTTCTCATTTCATTGTGCAGTATGGGTCAATTTTTTAGCAGCAATAAAATACTTATTAGCATTTAGTTAATCCTAAATTTGAAAATATATTTCTAACTGGTCCATCAATGATTCCTGACATTGTTTTGAACCAGGTTAAAATTTTATTTTCAAATGTAGGTGTAAGCAATTGGGTATTATTAAAATACCAAATGTGCATTCATTGTGTAACAACTGTATATTGTAGAGGCAGAATTTAGGCCAGTTTTTAGTTAAAAATAGTTATTACCAAAAGGATATTAAAGAAATCACTTCTGTGCTCTCGAACCGCGGATTTGGAGATTCTAAGACTACTAAAACTGTATGTTTAGAGTACGTCGCTATATGGATGCAAAACGTGGACGGTGGGCACAGCAGAAAAGAATAATGAAGCGGTTGAGATGCAAGATCTAAATATAAAATGGTTTGAAATGAACAGGCTTTGGGAAAAATAGTAGTAAAAGAGCTAGTTAGAGGAATATTAGAAGTAGAAACAGGAGTAAAGAGAGGCAAAGGAAAACCTAGATTTACGACGGTTGGCTTAGAATGGGAAAGAGTGCAGGCGCGTGTCCAACAAATCTTAGGACAGGCGTTCTTGTGATGAAAAAGATACATAAATATAAAATTTATTCCTTCAAGAACTTACTTTATCATTGTAGAAGCTGCAAACCCCATCGTTATCAATTTAACATTCACAAACAATATATTTATAAAAAAAANAATATTTGAAATTATTTGTATGTATTATTAATTAATTTTATTGGAATACGATCTCAAGAAACGGGAAAACTTTTAAAGACAGTAGAAAAAATATTTACCTTCAGAAGGTTTTCGGTCTGCACTTTGGCTTCTGATGCTATTCTGTCGTCTAACTTCGCTTGGACTTCCGGAAAAAATTTGGGAAGGATGTGCATAAATAACACCGCCAGACTGGGATAGATACGAGGGTTTGACTTGAGTGCACGCTTGGAATGTACTCAAAGATGGATTCGCGGCTTGAGACGTGGGTATGTTGATTGACTGTGTATTGCGAATAACCGTCTGAGACGTGAAGATGGTTTGCGATGTAGAAACGTTACGTCGAAGAGAATTAGGACTGGCTGGTGTGTGCTTTAGTTCTGTCAGAGCTTTAACTGTTTCAGCCACATTAACTCCTAGAACAAGGGTTAAATTTTTGTTTACTACTTAAGTCTGATTCATACCAATAAATTAATACAAAACTTCTCATTTCTCATTTGTATGAAACATAAGAACATTTTTTAATGCCATTTATAAAATTAGTCTTTAAAAAGGAGTGAGGCACAATTGGTCCCGCTTTTATATAAAAAAGTGCAATCGAGCAAGTATACTGTATATGTGAAATAAGTCACATCACATTAAAGGTACAGGTATATATAGAAAACTCAATAAATCGAAAAAGTGTGAAAAATCAGTGAGATGGATTTTATAAATTGTTTCCATGTTTATTTATGTTAGTTTAAATTAATGCACATGCTGAAATGACAATTTTGTTATATATTATCATATTAAAGGTACTATTTTTGTCTAATTTACAGGCATATTTATATACTGTTGTCTCTTACCTGAAGCCTTTGAAGTGGGCGATGACGATTCGAGTAAAAAAGCAGGAGGTGGGGGTAGGTTTTCCTCAATATTGACCGGTGTTAAGGGGCGGTTAGTATTTGTTATAGAAGATGTTCTACGTATGGGGGGTGGCGGCCGGTTTCCTTGTGTTGAACCACGTCGTAACAATGAACTGCGAATTGTACCACTCGAGTACATTGCTAAAATTTTTTATATGAGTGATTATCACAAGTTTATTTGAGCATATAAACAAAGTTACTTATTATAAACGTTATTTTCATAATTAAACTATTTTCTTATATCTTATATAAATATATGAAACACAAAAAAGAGACTTACTAGTAATAATTTAGTATGTGTAATAATGCAATATATATTTATCATAAAATATACAATTGTAATTAAAGCATTCGGATTAGGAATAAGTACTAAATTATGTACTACAAAAGTCTATTTTACGTTCGTTTGACTTCATAAAAAAATAACTTGTTAGTAAATTGTTAAATACGACGGACACAGTTTTTGCTTGTTTTATTAATAATAATGGAAGTTAACAAGAATAATAGTATGTAAGGTCACCTGGCATGGTTTTTAAAATGAAAATAAAATAATTAAAACAAAAAAAAAATGCGGAACGTTTCTTTAGAAATGTTTAAGAAGTTATCTTTTATCGTTTACTTTAATTCTAATAACATCTACGACAGTTTACGAGATACATTTTATTATTAATTTTTTCAATTATAAATAATACGTTGCTGACTTAACAATAATTAGTAAGTGATACCTCCAACCGTTCGCATAATTAAATAAAATACTATTAGGAAATGAAGTGTTCAAAGTAAAACGAAAAACCAATCAAAATTAATTCATTCGTGAAATTTTAATACATAGTTAATACCCAAAAGTTAAAAGAATGTAAATCGAAATTGTCGGAAAGAACTATTTATAGGATATGATTAACGGCAGTACATCAAGAGATGAATTGACAAATCCAGCTACGTGTTTAAGAATAAAGACACGATTATTTATCGACCATATCTAACATTACAAAAATAATAATTGTTTAAAATATTTTTGGTGCTGACCGATCGTTAATTATCTTTGCTCTCCGAAGAGTCGCTCCTTTTTTAATCTGGTCCATCAATGATTCGTGACATTGCTTTGGATCAGGCTAAAATTTGTACCATATATTATAAAAGATGATTGCGTTGGACAAAAAACTACCTTCATCACTTTTTAATCAAAAAATGTTTTATCACTGGCACTTTATACCACATTTGTTTGTTATAATTTAAAAATCATCAGTGTAGAATATTTAAGTAGAACTTAGATTTCAGTATTTAGAGTATGGATTTACTCCGAAAAAACAATACTCCCTTTTAAAATCAAGAGTATGAAACAGAAGGAAATGTGGTTGTACAGAACCAATAAATTGTTTCATTGGACCCTAAAGGAATCTGACGATTTATAAGCTGCTTAAATACGTTTATCGATAAGAAACATTGCCCCCATGTAACTATATAGGTTGTGTTCCGAAATATAACCCAGCATAGTGGCCAGTGCTGATGACGTCATGAACCGACGCCATACTGTTGATTCGTTCCTAAATATACTGGTCAGTGCTTTGACGTCAAATTGACGCCATATTGAGAATAGAGCTTGTGCTCGTTTACAATACTTTTGCTCCAAAAGTTATTAAAGTTTCTTACAACAAAAAATTCCTCAAAGCCAGATACACACACATCCGTTTCATATACCACTACATCACACTTGTCTCACCAGTACAATATGGTGGCACACCAGTACAACATGGCGCCGATTCATAACATCATCAGCACTGGCCAGTATGCTGGGTTATATTTCGGAACACACCCATAGTAATATCAATTTCATTTGTTTTAATATCAGTTAATGAACAGTTACTTACTTGTGCTTTGCTGTTGATGATCTGCCGCACCTTATTGGCTTTGATTTGCGAACACTGAATGTTGTTGCTGTTCTGCTGTTGGGCGAGTTTGGCATTCAAAGAGTCTAAAAAGTTTTGTCCGGCAAGGCCTCTCTGTGCCAATTTGTTCTGTTGTTGCTGAAGAGCATTAAGATTGTTTGCCATCATGGTCACGGAATCGTCCACGTGACGTCGCGAACTACGTGGGCTAAGAGTTGGAGCCAGCTTCGCACTGAGTGTCGCTATAAAATTTGAACCGACCCCTCCTGGTCCTGTAAATGATTAAAACAATAAAAAAAAGAAATGTAACTAATTATATCGATGTAAAGAAGGAATCCAAACTTACAGGAAAAAAGTTTATTGGGATATTTAAGAATATGGTATATGACTTTTGATTTATGAATTAACGAATATTTATTTATATTTCTGATAAAATACAGAAGTTGTATNTACCACTCGAGTACATTGCTAAAATTTTTTATATGAGTGATTATCACAAGTTTATTTGAGCATATAAACAAAGTTACTTATTATAAACGTTATTTTCATAATTAAACTATTTTCTTATATCTTATATAAATATATGAAACACAAAAAAGAGACTTACTAGTTATAATTTAGTATGTGTAATAATTAACTGATTAGAGTACTTTTTTGGTTGCAAACAAAAGTATAAAATTCCGCAATCTATACGTACTTTGGCTAATTATTTTAATTTTGTGCTTCAGATTATCACAGAACAATCAAAAACTACGTTTCTCCAAGAAAATTTACTTTTTTCAAAAACTAAATGTACCAACTTATAATGATCATGCTTCTATTTTTGTACTTAATTAATTACTGTGTATGTCTAAAAACGCATGGGTAACTGAAAATACGGACGATTGATCATGATATTAGTATATTAGTGTCTCTCATTCAGTTTGACAAGTCGAAATTTCGATGTGGAAACGGAGACGTGGTATATTATACAGATTATGTGAGTGAAAAACTAATTATTTACCTGTCATTGACAATGGTCGACGCCTAACAGACGTTAAATGATCGCCATTGCGAGGTAGCGTGCAATAGCTGCCAGCTGTTTCAAGGTTAGACATCGACAAATCTAGTAAAAAACACTAATCAGCACGCACATGCGACAAGATGAACTATTTGCAATTACAACAACTTGTAGAAATCTATGTACATTACAAGCAACAACTAATACTTCTGATGGGGGCTCGATATTAGGACTTGATGTAGTCCAGGATTGATTTTCCACCTTCATTGAAGATTGCGAAACGTCAGAGAAATCAGTAGACTCAGCGAAGGAGAACCATCCTAGACCATCAAGCCCGATCATCAAAACTTCTCTAGAAACTCTGACCGTGAAACCCTTGACCTTTTCATCAATTTATAGTTCGTTTTAATATAACTTAGCTATTTTCATGTATTCTGTCGATAGACAGGAGATACAATCTCAAAAGCCCAAACAGTCAATCACTAAATAACCCTACAGGTGCTTTACAATTTATTTTAAAAAATAATAGACGAGTGCATAAAGAATATATCCGTTTTTCTTTTTGGTATAACTTGACCAGGGCTCGTAAAAAGAAAACAATGAATTAATTTATATAGCAGACATCACCCAGAATGGATGTATAACTTGTGTTGATCAGTTTAAAATAGACGAATCTGTTATCAACGAATTATTAATCAGTTTTAAATGTACATATACTTCTTGAAGTTGTATATTAATGTGTTATGGTAGAAAGAGAGACAGTATTTTTTCTATTTCTACGTGACATGATTCACTTGACTCTCTACCAAAAACCATGCACTTTTGTCAAAATTTACATTACTTTTTATCTTTTCACAAAATGCCTAATACAAACTAATTATTGTTTTACCTTCTGTTCGAACTATTTCTTCGGTTATGAAAGTGGTTTGACTACCGTAGCCACTGGAAGATTCGAGCGAACTTTCGCTTGTGCTTATGCCATCCTTATCGTTTTCGTTAGGACCCTTAACAATAAATCAATAAAAAACGTAATTATTCGTGACCGATCAATCAATTCATAATGTAGACAAAAAGAAAATATTACCTTTTCTGTAGTAGGAGTTGACGTGAACTCGGCAGGGGGTGGTGGTAAATTTGTTTCCTGCACTTTGGAGGCAGCCATGCTGGCCAAATCATGCATATTTACGTACGTTGGTTGAGGAATGTCTATAAAAGAAAAAAGTTATTTAATTCGTTGTGAAATTAAATTATACGGTAAAGTTGCCTTTAATGATGTGGGAACATGCATGGGAAGACTTGGAAAGTTTGATTTCTACTGCCGAAGGAGGTAACACTCTTACTCCTGATTTAATCGTTTTTGCAGGCACATTGGGACCATTAGGACGTTCTAAAGAAGAACATCTCTGAAAAATAAAACGGAAATTACTAAATCCACAATTTTAAGGATATAGTAGTAACGATATTAATGTTAAACAGTTTTCAAACATTTTATTATTTTGTAGAATTCACGTTAATAACTGAACAGTCATTGTGGGAGAAGGTTGTAGTGGGATAAGTATGGGGAACATTTTTGAAGTCTCTTTACTTTTTGTACAAATATGATCTTTATTTATATTCTACTATTGAGTTCACACAAACTCTGATATTTAAAAATAAAGTGAAATATACTAGTTGTTCCCCCTTATCAGTCACTGTGAGTTCGAAACTGTGTTCTTTGTGTTAAAAATTGTTTGAAAATAAAATTTAAAGGAATTGTTTGTACACAGGTACGCAACACATCGTACACTTCAGTATAAGAAATTGCTGATACTAACAACGTAATACTACTTTGCCTTGTGTTAACAGCGCTCATAATTTCTTTTATATATAATANACTTCAGCATAAGAAATTGCTGATGCTAACTACGTAATACGACTTTGCTTTGTGCTAACAGCGCTCATAATTTCTTTTATATATAATATTTCGTTGATGTACTTACAGTAGGCAGTGGGGGTTTGCTACCATTCTTCCCTCCGTTAGTTTCATTATTATTGCTACTGTTAGAACCGTCACCAGGTTTTTGCGAAGTGACGACACTGCTTTTGTTTTCTGGTACTGTCACAGACGTGGTTACAGGACTGGCGGGTTGTGAAAGACTCTGATCGGGGGCTTGGAATGTATACACGGTAAGTGGCGGTCTTTGGTGGCCCTTTTCATATGCGGACGAGATCGTGTGAGGTCTTTCGTTCATAATCGCGCACGCAGCCCTTTCAAATTGCATTGTCTCTTGGAGATTAGGCCATGTAGCTGTGGTCGTGGGTACCGCGCTGGTCGAAAATGGGGTACAAGGGGTGCTACCGTTACTACTGTTCGGACTGTGTTCGGATAAATTCGACACCTAGAAAAGGGGAAATAAATTAATATTAATAACGGTGAAATCATATTGTGGTTGTTATCTTTTTTATGGTCGAAGAATGTTAACAAAAAAAAAATAGATTTTCTTTATCTATCTCTGGAATACCCACCTGGGCCACACTTAATGATGAAGGAGGTCTAGGATATAGAGTATCTTGGGAAGTAAATCCGGAATCTTGGCTACATACTGATGCAAGTCTCATCGTCCCTTTAAAGGGTATGTTCTGTTCACAAGACAACATCAAAACTAATTTTAAAAAAGCAAATAAAAAGTATAATGCAAAAAAAATAAAGGTACAATAATAAAAATGACAAAACAAAATAAAGATGTGTAATAATAAAACTATCGTTTAAAAGGTCCATTTGAAGAAATCACTCGGTATGTGTAACAAGTATGCATGTCTAATTATAATATATGCAAAATTTCTACGTACAAACTTTTAAGAATATAAATGCAACCACATGGAGTCTACAGTTACCATGCATTTACCATAAGCAAAGAACATTATTCTGTTACCTTATTAATGACATTACTATTAGGCAATAAAGCAAAAGAAAATTAGCAAAATAATTCAGAAAGAACAAATATTTATACAGATATATATACGATTTTAAGTTCAAAAAATTTACTATTACTCCTTAATAATAAATAAATTACAGGGAACATTGACATAGAAGAATAACTATTATATATTCGAGTACTACCAAATATATCCATTACCAGAAGGCGATGTGAATAGCTGTTCTTTGCCTATTAGCCTAAAAGCAGACCATATCTTTAGAAGTGGTTAGATTAGAAAGCAAAAAAAAAGAGAGATTAAAACCACCAGTAAGCTCCTTCCAGGAAACCTGACGTGGGAACGTTATTATATTATTACTTGTTAAATAGGGATAGTAACAGGATACCTGTGAAAGTGATCTTTGCCAATGAGGATGACTTGGCGAATGATTTTTTGAACTACCAGACGAGGAACTATTAAGAGAACTTATTGAACACATCGACGATTTTCTTGATCCTAAGCTAGAAGGGGACGAGGGTGGTGTTTGGAACGACCAGCCACTGTCTGAACTTTTTAAATCCGCTATCACCTGTTCTGATGCAGGAGGCAAAATTTGAGGATCAGCTGTATGCTTCTCTAACTGCTCAACAACTTCCTGAAGATGCGACAATTCTGTCAACATTGCCACCTCTTCATGCTGGAAAAGAAATTAAATTAAATGCATACAACTATCCATTAAGTACCTAAAGGTGCTTTTATTTTTACAATCATTCTATTTTCACTAGAAATCGCAAGTGCTCGCAATTCGACATGACATAAATTAAAACAGAAACGAAGAGGCTGAAAAAATTTTCCTAAAAATTCTACAAAATTTGCATTTTTTTTTTAAACAAACAGTGGCGTATTTGCATAAATTGTCTTGAGGGTCCCTTTTCAAAATAATAATAATAACCGTAACGTAAGACCACTGCGGGGCATCATCAGTCAGGGCCCAATGAAAACGAAGGACAATAACTCCCTTAATTAGCACGCTCGTATGACCTGTATACATACCACGACTGGTTTCAAAAACCCAACGAAACAACAAAATCTACTTCTTTCTTCAAGAAGGGCTGCTCTAACGGCCCTTTTCTCCGTCTCTTCTAGCACCTGCCTTTTTTCGTTTACATCTTGAAGACAGCACTCTATTCGTTTTTGGAGGTCACCCCCCGTACCCTTCCTATATTTCTTTTGCAACCTTAAAGTATCAGTTGATCTTTTCTTTAATTCAGCACGGGCCCTTTTGTAATCTGAAAGAAATTTGGTATGTATACATTTTTCAATGAAAATAATAATAATAATAATAATAATGGTTTGTTCCTGACAGCCGTTTTTTTGTACTGTAAGCACCCAAAGTTATTTATGTGGAGATTTTAAAATGCTCAAAAAAAAAATTAATTTTAGGTATCTCGGTGTGGGGCATTCGACTAGTACGTTAATCAGTAATGTGCTCGAAAAGCATGCGAAGAAAGCAATGTTTGTTCGGAATGTTTGTTCGGATTATTAAGGAAAATTCAGTTTCCTACTTTTTTATTATTCAGTTTTGCTGTCTTTAAGTGTTCTAATTGCTGGTAATAATATTCCGAATTTATCACTTATTGTTTGGTATGCTGAGTTTCTTTGAATGATCATCGCCT